TTCTATCCACGTAATACTTCAGTGCTGGTTTTCAGTGAAGTTTCTTTCTAAAAATCATGGTATTTAAAGTAAGTCTCATTTACAATAGATGTTCTGTAGAAACTGAACTCCGTCACCACACATGGTGTGAAATCAAAAGAAATGCGCACCCGCACGCACAGAGGCACTCCTCCCAACAGGAAGTTGTCAGCAGCCTTGATATAGATCTGTTGGTAACTGCTACTGTGTGTGTGAGCACAGCCACCTGTTATAGTTGAGGGACACGTGTCAGCAGAAACCTGGGGTCTCCCATAATATTAGATTATCAACAGGTATTCAGCAGCAGTGGTGGTTTGTGATGTCCAACATGGCTTCCATACCACATATAGGTCCCATATTTCTGACTATGTAGGCCAGGAATCTCAGACTTGTGAAGATGCTATCATCATCTGAAGTATTACAGAAAAACACTTCTCTCTTTCAGTTTTTTTAATAGTGTATGTAAAAACAGTACTAAAGCATTTTAATGAACTCTTTTTTTTCTCATTTTTTAGTTTAACTTCTGCTTCTAATTCACAAAAGACAGCCATATATATTCATACTAGTTTTGTTCATGGTTGGTGCCATGTACAAAACATTTGTACTTATTCGAAATACTATAACAACAAAGTTGATAGAACGGCATCAAAAGAAATGATTTTACAGCAGCAGAATTTGAATTTGTGTGTTTACCACCATGTACCTCCGCCCTGAACTGACAGGGTGTAGCATGTTTGAACAGGTTGAATAAGAGCAGCAGCAGCAGCAGCAGTGGTGGTGGTGGTGGAGGAGTCAGCAGTAGTGACAATAGCAGGTTTGTAGAGTTTTTAAAGGGAACTGCAGCTTCATGTTTGTACGCAGCCCTGATGTACCAGGTCAGAAACAGGTTTGGCTTTGCTGGAGACCTGCGGCGTTCCTCGTCACAGTTTTACAGCAGTCGAGGCTTCAGGAGACGAACAGCTGGTCTCCACCCGTACATGTAGTTTCAGAATGGACCTGGCAGGAGAATGAGCGTTGAAGTGTGACCAGGCCGTTTGACTAGATCATTGATGTATTCATGTAGTGGAGCCACTGTTTAATACAGGGCACAGTAATACTGTCCATGCCTGTATTGGCAGCTACGATACAGTGTGTGTTTCTGACGCCATCAACTCCACAGTTTAGTCAAGCTGTGTGTTTGACAGATTTCACTCTGATGACTCTCCCTGTTCCTCTTCCTCTGTTCTGTCATGTCACCGTTTTTGATCCAGGGTCAGTGACAGAAACTACGTCGGGGGAGAGTGGAACTTTCTCAGTGGTGTTAGCAGCAGACCACATTGGCCCTTTTGACCAGTGGACCGTTGGAAGGTCTGACCCTTTTTTGCAGTTTGTCGGGTCTTTGTGATTTTGAGGATGACCCTTGAAAACTACAGCCTTCCAGTTCCTGACAATAGTCTCTGGTTTAAGTATTTTCTGAAGTTATTCCTAGAAGTGGAGAACCACTCCTCTGTGGAGTGTTCAGGGTCTAATCCCACTCTCTAACAGATGTCATCTTGAATTGGCTCCTGAACCCTGGTGACCCCTGAGTAGATGAAGCAGGTGAAGGTGAATAGGAATGGAATAGGAATGGAATTGATAGGAGAAATGTTCGTGGTGAACTTTGGCTGAACAGCAAATGTCTAGAAAGGAATATTAATCTGCCGTACCATTGTTCTTTCCCTCGTCTTCTTTTTGAAGAAGACGGTGTCAACTGTAGGCCAAAGGTTGCCTGAGGGACCGCAGACGTCTCAGTTTTAATCCTGAATATCTCCTCTGTTCCTTTGAAACCTCAATTATGACTTTTCCCCTTTCTTATTTCTTCTCAGAATTCTTTTCAGAGTCAAATCACCCTCTTCTCCCCCCATTTCCATCTCACCAAGTGGCATCTGCGGGCAATTACTATTGACTTTTCATACAAGGCTTGCCAACAGAGGAAGCTGTTGTAGTGGAGCTCACAGCATGCACTCGCTGGCGGAGTAGAGGGATAACAGGAAGGAGGGAGGGAGGGAGGAGGAGGAGGTGAACGCTGGCTGAGGAGGTCTATTCATGTCTGTAGGAGAAGCCATGCTTGAGTTTGCACCAGACCTTCCTGTCACCACACTGCAGCTTCACAAAGTCAGCTGTACGGCCATCTTTGTCCCCTGTCCTGTCCCTCCATGTCCACACATTAGGAAATCATTAGAGACTCTGTAATTAATTAATCAATCACCACTGAATCAAAAGCATAGCATAGCATCATTTAATTTTATTATAGCCACCCAGGGTAGAACACCATCATCACAATGATGTTTTTTGAAATGCTAAGCTAAGAGAAGACAAGCTTATACACAACTGAAAACCTGGTTAACCCTATGAAGACATGAAAGCACTCTCAGCATCAGGCAGCAGTTGTTTATCAGTGATCAGAATAAAGCTGCAGGTTTTCTGCTCCGTTATCTCTGCAGCTGCAGAACTAAAGAAACGTTCTGGCTCAGCGGCAGATTCAGGTAAACTGATGCAGATGTCTGGCTCAGGAAAATCCATCCAAGTTCATTCCCGCTCCATGCACCCAGGTATGAAATAACAAGCAGAAACATGCACGTGTGTATAAATACACTGTGGAGTCCTGCAGCTTGTGGCGCTGCAGCAAACACCCACACACAGAAGCTTGGTGTCACATGTTGTTTAGACGTGCGAGAGTGACAGAGGGTTTTCACTCTGACCTCACAACCTTTTTTTTGTAAGCTTCTTTCCTGTGCAGACGGCTTCATCAGAAACACATGGGTGTGAAGTGACGTGCAGCGGTACGAGCTGTGAAAGCCTGTTTCCTCTACTGTTGTTGCCTTTTCTGGATGTGATTGTTGGAAACTTTCCCACAGGCCTCGGTGGCAGTTTGAAATAGGAAGCACTTCGTAGCAGCAGCCGCAGTACAACGACAAAGAACTGTGTCTAAAGGCCTGTCTGTCATCTAACAGTACTGAACACATATATAGTTATTTAATCATAGTTGAGAAGGTGTAAAAAAATAGGGTTTGAATGAGTCATTTCATCAAAAAGCAACTATCGGGAGAGATTTCTGTTACAAACAAAATGAGTCTGAAATAGTTTGAGATAAAAGAATGAAACCCAGTAACAAGGTGAAGCTACACTCCTTGTGTTTATTGATGACATCATCATCAGGATTTGGCCCGAGGACCGGATTTTGGAAACACTTGATCTAAGATTCTCTCGATTATGCAAAGCCAATAGTTTTTTCTTCTATTGCTGTGGTTTCAGGTTGCCACTTTAATCTCTCCTGCTTAAGGCTGCACAGAGAAAAAAAGAGCGGGAGACAGATATGAAGAGATTACAGATTACTGTGCTGACGGCCTGAGACGCTGAGTTTATTCTTGCCCTCTGCTCTGATGCCAGAGTCTGTGCCACTGCTGCTGGACGTTTAAGCCGCTTTCTTTTGCCGACATGCCCTGATTTATTAAGGACAGGCTTCAGCTCCAACCTGTGTGAAGTACATTTTACAGAGTCTGCAACGGATTATTTTTATCGGCCGACCGAGGTTAAGAAACCCGAGAGTTTCCCACAGCGTCACCCACGGCGCCTGTGGAAAGTAAAAAGGACATATCAGGTTGTGTATTATAATCGTCCTTTTCAGACAAATTAATGAGAAAACCAAAAGTGTCGCCAGGGATTAGCAGCAGATGTGAGCTAATAATAGCTTCAAAGGTATTTCTGATGGCAGACACCAGTGGTTTGTAGGAAAATCTGGAGGAATGAAAACCAACAGCAGTGGGAAACAGCTTTGTGTCGTATCTTGACTGCGGTGTCAAAACACAACTCACACATTTTGTTTGTGTGTGTGTGTGTGTGTGTGTGTGTGTGTGTGTGTGTGTGGAGCTGTGCAGCCAGCCCCCTGCAGAGAGTGAAAGTGAAGCTGCAGAGAGGCTGACTGGCTAATGAAGTGTCCACCACCTGAACAGAATGGACACAGACTGCAGCAGATCTCAGACCAGCTTGGACACATGGGCTTCCACTCATGAAGTACCTGCTGTGTGTGTTTCCGGTCTGACTATTCTTGTGGGGACACTTTGTCTTGTCATTTTCCACGTCCACACTGAGGGAGAGGATATTTTGAGGTTCATAATTTAATTCAGTCCATTTCAATTCAGTTTGTTTCAATGCAATTCAATACAAATAACTACATTCAAAGGGCAATAGAAACAGAAGAATTGAAATACTATTTACCAAGTTAATTATTTGGATAGCTCCAGATTTAGTTTGGAGTACAATTGGAATTAGAGTCATATTAGATTCAGGGTAAGGGTAAAGATGTAGGTATGTATTTCTATTGGTTAGGGTGATGATCCCGGGGCTGTAGAATGCAGTACGCCTACAGGAAGTCCTCATAGAATTGTAGAAACTGTAGACACTGTGTGTTTCCATAGAGACAGTCTTTAGCTGGGACAGCTGTTGTGACAGAAAAGAAATGAAGAAAAACCTAAACTAACCCTTAAAGTTTCAGACTGTCTGATGTACCGACCAGTCGAATGTGACAGCAAACTGCAGTGGCTGTGTATTTCCCTGCTGCTGCCGTGGCTTCCTGCTTCAGTCGGTGGAGAAGTGTCAGTACAAGCCATGTTCCGGAGCCATAACGATGCCTTCATTTCCATCCTGCCTCAGCATGTCAGGAGGTGTTGCTCTGGTTGAAGAGGATCTGGTTTCTCAGCTGGCCTGGCGTCCCCTATAGCGTTTGATAGGGGTTTCACATTTCCTGTGATCTTTGACAAAAGGTAACTGCCATAACTTTACATTAACAGTGGTGTGAATGAGACAATAGCTACGCTGACAAATTCACACCAATGTGTGAGGCTCTCTCTCTGTTAAACAGAACTCTCGGCCGTGGTTAGGATGGAGATTTCGGGGAAATATCCTGGAATAAATGTAAAGAAGTGCTGAATTAAGTTCCCATTATCCTGGAACAGTACAAGTTTACATTAAATTTCCGAGATCAATCACACCCGGGCTACAACATGATCTGACTGTCGCGATGCTTTCACTTCTGCTGAACTACAGAACCTGATGCACCACTTCCTCCTGGGTGCTGATGACACGGTTGCAAGTGCATCTCCATCCAGGGTGGGGTCAGGGTCAGTGTGAGGATGTGAGGCCTGACAGCAGGACCACTTCATGTGGCGTTACTGCACAGGGATTACAGCCTCCTTAATCTGCCTGTTCACTCCAGCAGCAGCTACAGGACTAGATGAGGAACAGAAATCTCTTCAGCGCAGACAGAGAGTTTTGGTGCATGAAATCTTTATGTCATTTCAGGACATCAATTTGATGATCTTTGATCCCAATCTATATATATATGTATGGAACAATCATTAGACTTTTATTTTACAAAATTATAAAAATATATAAAATCAATTATTAGATAAAACTGATTTTTGTCTCTACTCCAGTTCATAATTACTAATAAGTCAGATTGTTTTGTTTGTTTTTTTTTTACCTTTAAAGTCCTAAACCTGGCACCATAGGTTGACCGTCCCGTCTGTTTTTTGCGTGCGTCTGTTTTTACATTTCTTGTGTGAGTAAATCTAAATGTAAGTCGCCCTCACAAACAGGCGGAGAAGGATGTGGTCAAGGATTGTTCTGGTGCAGATTTCTATTTGCAGGGGTGTGTTTATCCTCACTGGCCACGAGAGAACGCGCTGGTTTCCACATGTGACCACAGAGCGACCAGAACACTGACACGTACTGCCAGCTCCGTGTTCCACGAGCCTTTATTTTCATTGTTTATTCATGGCAGAACATCCAACATCAAACTGGTGGCCGTGTCGGAACATTTATGTATTTTGCATGACATACTTTGTCTACTGTATGCATGGGTGCTCCTGGTGTTTGGGTCAGATCAGAGCAGGAGGCTGTGATGTCAGTTCAGCAGCAGCTGTATCACAGTCAGCTCTTCATTATTCTAACATCTTCACAACTTCTGGAAAAATCGTTCACATTCAAACATGTGAGGATTTTTTTTAAACTATTTTTGAGTTTTAAGTTCTGATCCTGTCCACTCAGGTCACTTGGAGTGAAAACCCCAGCATCTTCATTCCTTCTACTGTACCTCCAGGTGTCAGGCGCCATACATCATAGCAGGTCTCACTAGTCGCTTATAGACCAGTGTTTCCCAACCTTTTTTGAGCCATAGCACCTACTGTATATATCATCAGGAAAACACCACGGCACACCACCAAACAAAAATCTCACCAAACGTATATGTAATGAAATATAATAATCTTTAAATTTTAAATTAACTAAAAATGTACTCCTGTTTAGTTGAAGACAACGCTGATATACTGGCAGGAATTGAAGAAAGACATTCACAAAGATCTTCTTCAACAGCTTTGATTATCTTTTTTTAGTTTTCATCTGCTGCCACCTAGCAGAAGATGATCTCATTGTTCTGCCCTTGTGCTTTGACGAGCAATGTAAGATTATATGTAATAAATAAATAATAGTTTTCAGACCAATTAAGTGAAACTTTTCCACGGCACACCTAATGATCTCTCACGGCACAGTGGTTGAGAATCACTGTTATAGACCTTCCCTTTCAGTTTTGCTGCTGTCTCTCAAATGTTTTTATATATATTGTGATGCATTCAGGTCCAACTTACCCTCAAACTTTCAATCCTGATAAAACATAGTCATTATTAAAACTAAAGTAAACCATGGTACAGACAGAAAGCCCACCCAGTTGCCAACCCTAATTGTTTCTCTGCTTGTTGGACCTCCTGGTTTTGGCTGAGCCTCTGCATATCAGTGTGATGGAACAGATGACTGCTCAGCTAATGGTTTCATGACAAGAGGGAGAAGATGAGGAGTGGTTGGCGGGGGCCGTAATTTTATACGGTCCCATGAATCATAAAATGATTCACAGCTGAGATCGACAGGAGTTCCTCGCTGGTGGTCCCTCATTACATCTCTCTGGAGTTGTATGCAGATGTTCTATTATCCACTAATATCCCTTTACTCTCACTGGTTATTAACGTTGGCCAACATGAGCTATGAGCTGATGAGGGAAATATTGTTCTGTTAAGCTAAACTGCGATTCCGAGGCCAAGATTTTCACATTAACGCCGGTTCTGTGCAGGCAATGAATTTGCACAAAGACCAAATGTGGTGACATACGATGGTAAAAGCAGACATAACATAAAAAGAGCAATTAGTTCCTGTTTTTGATTTTGAAACAGGCCTTTAGTGGAGGCAGAGGGGAGTTGATTTTGAATGTTAATGGCCAGTGTTGGAGGAGTTAGAGTCAAGTCTAGATGACATCAAGTAAAAGTCCATCAAATGTCCTCAGTCCTTTAACACTAACAATCCAGCTGAAGAGGTCAAACAAGTTTTTTTTTTGGCAACTAGCTAAGCTAGTCACCTAGTCACCTAGTGAGTCAGTTTGACGCAGACTAAAAAAGGTTGCCAATGTGTGAATGAACGACCAAAGATGTTGTTCAAGTGAAAAAACTTTAATCCACAAAAGCCAAATGATCACAGGAGCAAACACAGAGCAATTTATAGTAGAAACAGAATCACTCCATCATTGCAGCAGCTCACGCTGTTTTGGAAATGTCTTCAGATCCCACACAGATTTTATTTTGTCAACACTGACATTGTAAAATCTGTCCCACAGATGTTGATGTTGGCCAGGAAATATTAAACCTCGCCTCTGATATTTCAGCCAAGGTGACTTATTCTCTTTAACTCACTGCTACTTCTACAGTATATGCACTGTGTATAATATTCAATAATGCATTTATACACGACCACCAAATGTCCAGTGTTCATTTTAGACGAACCCCTCTGGATGCACCTCCCTGTACATTTGTGGCAGTGATGTTTTTAGTTTGATTCCACTTCCAGTGAAATGTCTGGAAATCCCCCTTTAACCGACTAAACGACGTGATACCTTGAGGTTACTGTCCACTTGTTTGTATGTGTGTGTTTGCGTCGGTTCTTGATTCTTCCACTCTGTGTCTAACAGCTGCGGTGGTTCTTTTTATATTAGTGTGAAAACTAGTGTGGGTTTTTAGAAATGCACAACCACCAGGGTCAGACATAAACAACGCTGAAATTAACATTTTATGCATACCAGTTCATGCTAGCCGTTTTCATGTAGCACATCAAGGTCTGTACCTGTAGTCCATAATTGTATAGTGACACATGCTGTGTAAAAATATTTCTTCAAATGGTTTTTAAGTGTATAGTTAAGAAATTTTAGCATTTTCTTTTATTTCTTTTTTCTTTTCTAAGTGTATAGTTAAGAAATTTTAGCATAAAACTAAACAAAACTTTAGAGCAAATGTCTTTGGCTTTGTATTTAAAATATATATATATATCATTATTATTTATATATATATATAAATAATAAAGTATTTGATCTAAAGAATTTGACCTTTATCACCCACAAACACAGCTGTCTATTGTTGTTAAGGTAAAAATACTTAAAGGCAGGAGACACAAAAACAGGTCTGATGCAGGCTAGCCAAAAAGTGTTCACAGAACTGTCAGAATGATTGCTACTATAGCTGTAGCCTCAGTCACTCATGGCCCAAAGTCTAATAAAGTGGTGACAACTTTCTTTACAGGAAATAAAACTTTATAAAGGGAAATAATGAAAACACCCTGCTCTAACGTCCCTCCGTGGAGAGTAGTGAAGTATCTGAGTGTAGTACTATAAAAGCTCACCTGCAGGAATCCCAGCACCATCTTGTGGTTTGACAGTGCAGCTGTACTGCTGCTGCTGCTGCTGCTGCTTCAGGGTGAAAAAACTGCTTCATTGTTTATGCTGCAGAGGCTCCAGTGGCGCAATCGGTCAGCGCGCGGTACTTATATGACAGTATCCTGCAGAGTCATGCCGAGGTTGTGAGTTCGAGCCTCACCTGGAGCACAGAGCTTTTGACTGGCTCTGTGAGTCAGCAGGATTCTTACTCTGTTCTTTAGATACTTTACAGATAATACAGCACACAATAGCTTTTTTCCCTATGGGAATTTAAATAACATGAATTTTTAACAAAAATATATTTAACTTCCATATATTATCACAGCAGCATCCACTGCCATATCTGCAGAGACTCACTTTTACTTTTTTTATTTATTATGTACAGTTGTTGTTCTTTTTACAAAGTCTTAATGGAACAGAGACCCTAACTCTAAACATTCCATAATTATTTCACCTGTTATACCTACATTTATAAACATTTGCTTAAAGGCTTGAAAGGTTTTACAGTTAGTGAACAAAAACATAAAGAAAGGAATTATTTGGCAAAAAAATCCACGTGGAATAACTAAAAGTTAGTCCGTTTAGCTTATAAGTAGGCAAGATTAGTAGAAAACATGTGATTCCAGTGAAAAAACAGGGATTCCAGTGAATTATTCATAAAGTCGTCCAAATGTTGCCTTGAATTATTAGCACAGTATTAAGCCAGACTTGCAGCGACAGTCTTCACAGCGTCTTGTGTGTGTGTTGTTCAGCTGGCAGGTGGAGGTGAGGACAGTGACCATGGATGAGCAGGGCCTGCAGAGGAAGAAGCCCCCGCGGCTCAAACTGGACATTCCCACCATCCAGCTCACGCCGGACGACTCGCCCACACAGTTACAGGTAGGACACACACAGCTGAATCAGGGCTGTGGTCAGCATCATTTTCTGTGCCTAAGTGTGTGTGTGTGTGTGTGTGTTCTGCAGCCTGTGAAGCGTCTTCGCAGTGTCAGCATGCCAGGAGAAAACCCTCAGACTTGCATCGCTGCTTTGGAAGCTTCTAACAACTACCTCAGACCACCCCCTCTGGAGAGACAGCCCTCCTTCAAACAGACAATCAAGAGGTTTAACACACACACACACAAACACACACACACAGTCGCTCTAACGCTCTGCTGGTGTTCAAGCTTCTCTCTGAAATAATTCCTGACGTTGAAACTCTTGTTTCTTCACTTTTTCTCTTTCCTTCCCTTTGTTTTTATTTGAATCCACTTTTCCACCTATTTTCTTTTTTCCCACTGTTTTCTTTTCTTTTTCTCCTTTCTTGCCGCCGTGTTAAGTGAGAAAAGGGTTCGCTTTGAACGTGTCAACACAGTGCCCCCAAAGGGCCAGAGGCTCCCGACAAGGGCGCCAACCGTCCGAAGGCGGTCCTGCATCCCAAAAATACTGAGCCGACGGCGGTCTTCTATACCCAAACAGATCATCAGGTACAAGAGGGGGGGTTGAGGGCAGCAGGGTTGACGCTGTCTCAGAAAATCTCTCTATGTTCTGATTTATTGCTTTGACGCCTGTATCCAGTAACCTAAAATTTGCCTAGAATTGGCTTACAATTAACCAAACCTTTAGCAAAAATGCTAACACTTAGCCTGAAACAAAATCAAAACATAACACAACCTCTTATTAGCCCTGTTTTCAGGGAAATCTATTCAACCCAGTCTAATAATTCCCATCAGCCACTGCAGTTTACAGGGCACTGGGGCAGCACAACACAGTCCCACCCCAGCAGGTGCAAACCTCAGATTACAAACGCATTTCTTCAACCACTGGGGCTCAGGTTGTGATTGGCCTCCAGAGAGACTGTAAATCAATATCATCAGCTGGACCAGGAACCAGGAGTAGAGAAACATCAAACATCTGAGGCACAGTTATGGGATGTTCTTCAAAAGCTTTGAAACACAACTCCTGAGGGTAACTTCCAGGGTAAATTAGTGAATCTCCAGGTTGCCATATGTTGGCCGTCTTTAAAATCCAGCTCTTTTTCCTACTTGGACTTTTCATATTTCAAAAAGTGTCTTTGAGACACAGCTGTGAACGCCCCATTGTCCCACACACAAAGGCCTTTACAGCCTCACTGTATCAGTGTCACTGAAGGTGACACGCAGCACCACAGGCTTTGAGGCAGACAACGTAACAATTACTCACACACTGCGTGTGTGAACATCAAAGCAGCCCCAAAGGAAAGCATTTCATTAAATGTAAATGTTTGAATATGGAGACGGGCTTCACAGAGGACAGCCCTGAAGATTCTTAACTTAATGAAGGCAGATGTGGGTTTGGGTGGGGATGAAGGCTTTTGAAGTTTGTGGAATTTTGGGAATTAAGCACAGATTTGCCAATCGTTAGTTCAGAAACAGCCTGAACAGATGGGGAGGTTAAAAACGGTCCAGCAGCTTCTTCAGCCTTCAGTCCTGAGTCCCGGGACACCGAGCAGACCTGACCTTGAAGACCTGACCTTAGTGTTCTGGAAGGTTCTTGCTGAACTAGCAGATCATAAATGTATTTATGGTCTCAACTAACTGCATCTGTGCTCCACACTGGTTGGCCTTTAGTTAAAGAAATATCTTGATCTCTTGGCAGAGGTACAGTAAAATGGGAAAAGTACAGACAGGGGGCAGTGTTGCTGTTGTTGAACACATTGATGGAAGTAGTTTTGTACATTTCCTTATACATTTCATTCTGGAATTGCTAACCTTTAAAGACATACCAGGAAGGCTCTTTAAAAAAAGTGGAACTTTCTGTGTGTGTTTGCAGTCAGTGTTTGTGTGTTCAAGGTCACTTCTGTGTGTTGACCTCATACAGACACACACTAACAGGCGTCTGTGTTGTCCCTATGAGTTATGAGTAGGCTAAGCTTTGGTGAAGTTCAACCTTTGTACTCCTGTGTGTGTGTGCGCGCGCGTGTGTGTGTGTCATGTCCAGACATGTTTTTCCTCCATCCCTCCTCCCTCTTGATGTGTGTGATGATCCATCTCTCCTCTGTCCTTCCTTCTAATCTACCATTTCCTGTCGAGTGCTGGTATTTCAGTGTAAGAAGTGGTGTTTACACACACACTCACACACTCCTACACTACGACTGGAGAAAACGACAAAGAAGCAGCTCACTGATAGAGATCATGGGGCTCTGATGGAGGGAAGACAGTCTTCAGTTTGACGAGGACCAGAGCTCGGCCTTTGACACATTCTCTCCAGGACAGATGGATTCTGGGAGGCCTGCCAGACACTGATACATACACACTGTCCCTCACATGTACACAATCACATGGAAACTTCTGATGTGTGCTGACGGTGACACAGGGTCTAGGAAAATTGAGGGTCCTCCCACTGATCGTGTGCAGAAAAAGCCGGTCCAGCTGCTGGAAGTTGTCCGTGATCGTCAGGATACGCTCCCACCAAGGACATCAACTGCACCTCTTATTCTCCTGAGTTTTATTGAGTAATGGGGACAGAGGAGTTGAACCAGCGTCTCGACTTCTCCTTTTGACTAACAAGTTACAGCCGGCCGGAGTAGAAGGACGAAGATGGAAGATTTAGTGTTGTTGCGAAGGAAGGGCCAGTGTTCAGAGGATGATGTTTTCATACAGGCTGCAGGGCAGACAGGGGCACAGTGTTAGTGATGCTGCTGATGGAGGAGACACATCTCCAAAATCCCAGCCCTTCTCAGGTATGACCCAGACCCTCAACCCCTCCTGGAGTTCTCTGGACAGGTGGGTGTGCTGCTCAACAGATACTGTAGTGGACAAAACAATAAATCCACAAAGACTGTGATCACCATGTTTTGTGCTGTGCTCTAGGATTATGTTCATGTAACAACAACGTCAACAGCCAGA